AAGTAAATTCAGAAGTTAGTATATAATTGCATATTTCCAAACATTCTCCAAAGATTCCACATCCCTGTAGTTAATGTAATCTCCTTTGATTTTTTGTTTGAGAATTTTAAGCCTTTCATATACTAATGATTTTGTATGGAAATTAATATTGGTCTCATCCATATACTAATGTATAGAATCTATTTATAAAATTATAAGAGTTTGAAAAATTGTATATATTAATAAAAAAAAAAATGATCTATTTTGCCTAAAACTATAAATTAATGATAATCTTAAAAGTTTTTTAAATGTGTAAAATATTTACAGATATGTATAAGATATTTAAGTAAATATTTACAGCTAAATATACAGTATTTATAATACACACAATTATAAGATATTTTTTTTTAAATTAGATTTATTTTAATTATTTTGAATAATGAGATTGTTTAATGTTACAGGCTTATCCAGAAATATTTAAAATCCTTTCTCCTGTGTTTGATATCATTGGAGGAAATCCATTTGAAGATAAATAACATATTTTAATTATTAATCAATGTAATTAAAATATTAAGCTCAAAGTTTTTATTGTTGTTCTCCACTAAATTTATTACCAAGATTTTAAATGCATTTTTCAGTCAAATTATATATATAATATATTTATAATTCTATTCATGTAGAAATATATATAATTTTAATTTTAAAAAGTTTATAATAAAATTATTTTAGTGATTGTCATGTTAGATTGCAAGATAATTATATAAATTACAGTATTTTAAAAATTTACTTAGTTTATTTGGAAACTTAAACAAATATAACAAACAGTACTTTTTATTTTATAAAACTTTCTACTTAAACTCAGCCATTCCATAATTCAACATTATTACATAGTATAAACTGAAACAACATTGACTCATTATATTCAGATTTACCAAATACATCTTTATTCTTTTATGTAAAAATGTTTCTGACTATCAATAAGGAATACTCATTTTATCATTTAACTAAAAAATGTAACAAATTTGATTTTCCGAGTTTTACTAATTTTAAATTCATTGGGAATGTTATGTTTGAGAAAATCATTGTCTGAATGAGATAAATGATTTAAGCAGATAATCATTATTATTATCAACTTATATATTAGCATTAAAATCAATTTTTAAAAATTTCTAAAACTTTTGAAGTTCTCTTCTGACTTTATCACTTTGACCTCAATGTATCTCAAAAACAATGTCCATACTCCCTGACATAACTGAGTGCACCTAATGGAATTTAGGAGGGAAAATATATTAAAAAGCATTATGTGCATCTAATGGAAAATGAATGAGAAAAAATGAGCAAAATACAAGAACAAAGTAATCAATGCTAATTACTTTGCTCTTGGATTGCCTCTATGTGTTGACAAGTGCAAGGAACACCTTTCTTTCCAGTTCTGCCTCAGTTCTATCACAATATGAGAAAGTCACGAAATGTCCTAGTAATTCTAATAGATTTCTAAAAAGTTATTCTTTTTAAAAACATATTAACATTTACATATAACAAGTTAAAATATTTTGGTTTTCGTATTAAGGTCTTTTGATTTACAAATCAAAATAAATTGAAAATTCACACAATTCTGGCAATATTTAAGCTATAAATGAACTATCTACCAGCATGCTATGGTCTGCCATAATTTTTCTGCTATTGTATAAAAACTTTTCTAAGGCCAACACTTATAGTACTATGACACATGGTTCATCATCTCTGTAATGATTTTTTAATGGAACAGAGAACTCCAATCAAATTTTGTTGCAAACTTGGCAAAAATCCTTCAGAAATATATTGCATGATGAAAACTGCTTATGGTAGAGATTATTTCAGTGATACTAGAGTATTTGAATGATTTTCAAGATTTAAGAACAGTCACAAATCACTTGATAATGACAAAAGGAAAGGAAGCCCCTTCTCCTCTTCCACTGATGAAAATGTTGATTTGAATTCAGAATCTTCTTGGCAATGACTCCAATGACTGACATGTAACAATTGTGCAATGTCTCAAGAACTGAATATTAGTGTTGGAAGTGTCCACAACTTTGCACATCTTTCTCTTTCCAAGGATTGAATGAACAAAGTTTGTGCTTCATTTCCTGATACCCAAGCAAAAGGAATAGCATGTCAAGGATTTTGTGGAATGGGTCAATGACAACCCAAATGTTTTGACATCAGTTATCACAAAAGTTGGTATTTCAAGTACAATCCTGTAATAAAATGTCAAATTGCTGAATGGAGAAGCTGAGAAGAGGGTCATCCAATCAAAACTCAGATGACAAAATCAAAACCATGCTGGTTACCTTTTTTGATGCATAGCGGCTCATTCACCAAGAATCTATTTCCAAGGCCAGTTATACCATGATATTTTGGACTGCCTTTTGAACAGAATTCACTGGTCAGATCAAATTTGTACTGCTTTAATGACTGGTTTTTGTTCATGACAATGTCCTTTCTCATTTGTCCATTGGTCACTTTTAACCAAAATTGGTTAGTCATTCAGCACCTTCTTTACTCACCTGATTTGTCACCTACTGATTTTTTCTATTCCCAAAGTTGAAATTAGCAATGAAAAGAAAATGATTTGATAGTATTGAAGCAATTCAGGCAAGATTGATAAAGCTATTAAATTAAATTTTGGAAGAGTACTTGAAGCTTTCACTGGACTTTACGAGCAAAATACAGAATGTGTGACCACGCTTGTATGTTGAATATTAAATAGTAAATTTTTCTTTCCTGTAAAATTGTAAAATCTGATTTTTATTTACACTTGTTTTAGAACTTTTTGAATGCACTGCATACATATGTACTACAGTGTCACCTCAGTATACAAACGCCCCAGCATACAAAATTTTCAGGATACGACATGAAATTCGAACATATTTTTGCTCCACAATACAAACAAAAACTCACCATACAACGTTACATTAGTTCGCAGCGCCATTTTTTATTCACTTCTGTTCATCAGTCTCAGTCCGTGTGTTTGCTTTGTCGTGGAAGGATCTCACCTGATAAAAGAAATCTTGAGGTATTATCAGAAAGTGACTGATTTTATTGAAAAGAAACATCCCGTAAAGGTTTACAGTGGCCGTATTGCTGCTCAGAGTAATGATATTTGCCTAAGTCATTTTAGAAACATTTTAAAAAGTAGGCAAAGCCTCTTTGGATAGATATTTTACCAAGCGACCTCTATCCAGTGAAAGTGCTGATGGAAGTGAAGGAAAGAAAGCAAAAACCAGTGAATAAAAATTAAAAAATATAAAACAACACTAATTTTTTTAAAATCTTTTCTAAGTTATTGTTACATTATGTTATGTAAGTTAAGTTTTAGTATCATTTCCCTTCTCCCTCTCTTCCGCCACCAGTTTACACCTCCACCATCGTCTATCCTCAAAGGTAAAGTGCAAATAAAACTACATTTTTTTATTATCAATTATTATTCTATTATGGCTATTTATACATTTATAACTACAAAATGCATTTTTCAGTGTTTTCCTTACTATAGTTTTTTTTTTCAATGTACTACTTAGCTTTAATTTGAGTGTGTTTTTCTTGTTGGAACGTATTATTTGGTTTTACGTGTAATCGTATGGGGAAAAATGATTCACCTTATGACATTTTCATGATACGATCTCAGTTTCGGAACAGATTAATTTCATATCCTGAGGTACCACTGTATATGTGAAAGACCTGATAGGAACAAGTGTACACTAGTTCTTAATAGGTCTTTTGCATGAATAGGAAGTTTTGCACAGAGGCCAATGGATGTAAAGTGAACTGTGAAATTTAAAGGCCAATGTTATGGTCATCAATGGTTGAAAATGGACCTCAGTAAAATTTGTTCAACTTTGATTTCAGCAAAATGTATGCAATATTAAATGTATTAGTATTACCATTTTTATCTGTTAGTGAAGGCCAGTTTCCACTAGTGCAGAATCACATTGAGAAGAACACTGTTGCTTTAATTCATCTTTGTTTTTTTCATCACAGTAAAAATTTGCAAATGAATATTTGACCAATCACATCACTTTGGATTGACAATATTCATATATTAATGCAACTGTTAACATAACATGATAAACAGAAAGTGCTTTCTGAACATTAGAATCCATTGTTGACAATCACCATGATGCACTAAAGATTTCTGGAAAAAATTTACAAAATCAAAACATTGTCAATGAGAATCACTGGACAGATTTTCCAATGAGATTATCTGCAACAGTTTTAACTGCTTCTCTTCCTGTAGTATAACATGAAAACCAGGCTTGTCCTTAAAATTTCTTTTGGTGTAAAACTATTTTAAGTGGGCCTATTATACCAAAAGTTTATTATATCTGATAAGTACATATTTTTTTTCCATATACAGTGGAACCTCTACATTTGTCATTAATCTGCTCCCTAGGACCTAACAAATATGGAGAATGAAATATAGAGTTTTTCTCATAATAAATAACTATGCAATCAATCTATTCCCATCCTGAAAGAAAGGTACAAGAATAAAAATTATGTTGTTTGTAAAACTTTACTGTATTTATTTAGTACAATAAAGATATAGTGGTAGAAGGGGAATAACAGTATTATTGTTTAGAAAAAGACCTATCAATTAAAACATTTGGCAATTCCAATTATGATCATGGGATCTGTTTTGCCAATGATTCAGTAGCACTTGATTTAATAAAGAACTTGTGCAGTGTTGTGTGTTTGAAAATGACGACGAATACAGATAATTACTGATGAATATGGAAAAATAAAAAAGTCATCAAAACATCATGAATATCGAATACAGTCGACCCCCCTATAATTACGATTCCTATAAAACTACGAAAAAATATACGTATTTTGGAAATGTTGAGTCGGATTAGTGTAGAATCGATTAATTTTATGGAAGAAAACCTTTCAATCAGCCGTAGTCCGTAAACTTGACACGTGTCGGGCTGTGATTGGAACGACTTGTAAGAAATCGGATTCCTAATAAATTGGAACGTATCTATATCTTATAGGGGGGTCGACTGTATTACAAATATAGAAATTCCACTGTATAATATTTGTGTGTGAATTTTTATTTGAATTTATTATCTTTACTTAAATATACCATTTTCATGAGCAAAACTGGGTATCTCAACTAGTAAATTAACAAAAAAATTTAAATAAATATTTATTAAAACAATTAATAAAATTTAAGATTCAATTCTATTTTACAACAAAGTTTACATTGATAACATTGAAATGTGTTAGTTATTTTAACATTTGTAATTTCCAATCAACTGTTTTCATTTTTGGAGGATATTTTAATTCTGGATCAAGAACAACATCACTCCTTGAATGGACTCTACTGTGTAATGCTGCTAATGTATTTGCTGTTGATAATGGTCCTAAAGTCAACAAGTCCTCATTTGAATTTTCTGGAGGCCAAATATTTGTAAGGTTTTTTTCAATTAACTCTATTAAGCTATGTACTTCTTCCTGAAGTTTTTGACTTTCATCATCATACTCAAAAAATATTAATGTCTTTATTAGTTTTCTCATATCAGTTTTTATAATTTCCATGTTACTTATCAGCTCTCTCAGGCTTGCAATTAAAGCAAGATCTTCATAAGGGCTTCCTTCTTTCAAATTATATAAATTTTTCATACTCTTTTTACTTTTAGATATTACTGTTGAAATAGACCTGGCTTTATGTTTTGAACCTTTTACAGAATGAGAACTGCCACTGACAGAACTAATATCTGAATAATTGTCTTCCTGGTCATCTGCATCATAAGTTGCCCTTTCTAATTTTATAGCTCTTACCACTTTTAACCTATCCACTTTCTTTTGAAAATCATACTGTATACTTTTTATTGTTTCAAAATTACAGGTAAAAGTATCTAGCAAAGCAGGTTTTAAATGTGTTTCTAGTAAATTTAGATAATTATGTTTATATATCAATCTAATAGCATCTTCCCACTCTTGACCTTCAATAAGAACTAAAATACTTTCTTCATATTTATTTGCAAACTGTTCCAAAAGTGTTGCTGCTTCGGCATATCTTCTATTATTCTTTAGAAAAATAACACTATTTGTTGCTAATTCAGCTAATTTATCCTTTCCAAAATCAAGCTGTAGTGCAATTGAAAACATTAAACACCAATTTCCACACAGCTGAAATGCATTTAATGCATCATCAAATTTTTCACATCTCTTATAAACAAGACCTGCTTCTTCATAAAGCCTTTTTGACATTAAATAATCTCCATATAATGCCCATATTTTCTTATTTTCTTCTGAATGAGGTGGATATATATGTAATGCTTCTTTATAGAGTCTCTCAGAACATATTAAGGATACACACTCATTAAAATGATCTTTACATTTGCTTATATGATATAATGCTTTTTCATAATTTTTAAGATGCATATCTATTTTAAACTTTTGATAATTAGAATCTAAAGAATTTAAGTAATTTAAAAATGGTAAATATTCTTTAGGATCCTTATTTGATTTTTCAGCAATCATTAATATGATATCAAAATCATATGTTCCTAAAGCCACATCATATAAACTGTTAACATCTATAATTGTGAAAATAAATTTGAGGGCTTCATCAGCTGCTCCAGAGTTATCAAGCGATTTTACTTTTTTTAATACAATATCTAATTCTGGTTCAATTTTTCTTGCATGTGCAGCTAATATAGGTAATAAATATTTTTCTTCATCTAATCTTTTCATTGAATTCAATAAAGCATTGTAGACTGCATTCAATTTTAAAGCTCTGTCATTTTCATCTTTAGCTTCTAATTTAGAATTTGGATCAGAACTTGAATTTCTAATATCAGCAATGAATATGTTTATTTTTGATACAGAATTTATTTGTTGAACAAACAGCTCAGTATTGTCTAAAAATGCTGTTGGATTATGATCATAAATGAAATTCATGTTTATTCTATGTTTCCACATTAAATCAAAAGCAGTTTTAAACTCTAATTTGTCCAATAACTTTCTCAAAATGTAATATATTAGAGTACGAGGATGGATAACTTCTAAATTTCCTCTTGGCAATTGTAATACCACTTTAGTATCACAAGCAACTCTAGTTATCAATTTTGATCCTTTTTCTATCATTCTAGGGTTTTTTGAATTGCAAATGTTCTTCACAATATCCAAAAAGTTTCCTTCCATTGATGTACATTGCAAAGAATGTTGATAAGTTGTATATATAAGAAAATCTTTGTTAACTTGAAATGAAATGCAATTAGATGAAACTTCTTTATCATTACAATAAAGTTGAAATCTTTCACTTAACCCAAATATAATATTATTATTAAAAATTGACATTTTAGGACAGTAATAAGGAAATTTTATATGTTTATCTTCAAAAATCCAGAGATCCAAGTTATTGGACTTACAATCATATTTGTATATACTTCCACTGTGTGTCTGAATAGCCAATATGTCACCAATATCATTAGTGCATATATTAATAACATCATCTTCAATCTTATGATAGTGTTCAATTACTAAATCTTCATCATCTTTTAGTTTTATGTAACATAAGTAGTTATTTTTCTGTGATTTAGAAATTACAAATAATCTATCTTCCATTGTCCATGTCCAGTGAAGTAATGCATTATCATCTGGATCAACTATTTTATGTAAAGTGCACACACTTGGGATCTGGACTCGTGAATTTGGTATTTGGATTTCTAATTTGCATCTATCATCAAAACATGACGCATTAGAATCAAATTTTACAATAGCTATATTTTTATTATTAAGACAAATAATAAAATTGTTACTGTATGGTGATGGTGCAAAAATAACATTTTCTATATTATATGGCATAGTCATAGAAAATGCAGACATTGGTGGTGGTACAACCAAATGCCTAAAAGGTGTCAAAAGTAATTTTTTACCATCAATGACAGCAACAGAAGCAGAATCCAATTCTGATTGCCCAAAGCTACTGTTTATTGACCAACTCCATAAATATTGAATGTAATCACCATTACCAAATACAACATGTAATTTATAAGGATTCTGTTGATCCCATTGTACAATATTAATTTTATCATTAATTCTGAAATTATACTTTGAATACCAATGATAATTGCCTGTAGTCCACAAAGAAAGTTCAAAGTAAGTTTTGTCAGAACTGTTTGAATAACCAATTTCATAACCCCAAATTGCAAGAATTGAAGAATCCATATTCCAAGAAATTCCATTAACATAAAATGTTTTTGGTTCATATGGTAATTCAAATTCTCCATGTTGTAATCCATTCTTTTCAAAAAATACAACAGCATGCTTTTGAGGAAAGTGCTGCGATGAAGCTATCAAATTTCCTGATGGTTTCCAATCCAAAGTACTTTCTAAACCTACAATTTTCTCACTGGTAAATTGTAAAATTCCTTCTCTATTCCAAATTCGAAGCTTTCGATTATTTGATGAATCAGTTGCAGATATCACAAAATATTCACCATCACCTCTCCAGCAAATGCAAGGACACTTATCAAGAAATTCTGTTGACATAACTTCTTTGCAGTTTTTATTAGATGGTTTTTTAATATCAAACTGAGTTTCTTTGGATCCCCATCCAACAGATATCGGTTCATTTTCACCAAATACATCTGAATGTATATTATCTTCTATAACTGGATCAAAGTCTTTTGACATCAAGATAAAAAGATCTGTTCTTGTCACAAAAACAATCAATTCTTGATCTGGACTCCATACCATATCTTGTATCCCATCAGCTATTGAGCCAACAGATTCTACTTGACTGAAAGATATATCATACATAAATATATCACCATTGGCACAAGCTAAGCAGATAGATTGCTTCTCAATAATATATGTGCACTTTATAATCTCAGGTAATCCATCTAATTCTGTACAAAAATCAATTTCTGAATTGCGCAAATCTAATTTATATATAGAACTATCAGCTATAAAGTATACAAATTCTTCACAATCGTCGAGGCAAATAAATTTTGCTTTTTCTAAGCATGGATTGTTAATCCGACGAACGTTCATCAACTTTAAATTGCGCATTTTTTTTACTGATAATATAAATTATATCACTAACATTACTTAATACCTAAATATTAAATTTTTAAATTCTAATTTATCCACAAATTCAAAAATTGTTATATTTCTTGTCTAAACAATTTACCTTCTAACCTTCTACACGTGCTCACACAGATGAAACGACATGCAGGTTGCCAATCTTAATTTTTTTTCTTATAATTACGGTATATTTTTCGATAAATTTTTATGCTGTTATTTAAAATTTGAATACATTTCATTTAAATTTATTTTTATTTGTAATAAAAGATTATTAATAGATTATAAAAATAAATAATTATATTAAATACATCATAGATATCAGAGGTATATTCAAAATTTTTCCAATAAGTTTTGCGTATTTTTTTTAACTCTTTCCGCCCTGTGGGCACTAAGAGGGCCTCTTATTGCAAGCCCATTATGGGTTCGGCCAGGCCCACAATGGGGCTGCCGGGTGGTGAGGGACGGGGCCCAACATATCCGAACGGACCACCCCCCGAAAAATTCCTGGGGATTTTTCGACCCGTTCGGATTCGAATCCGGGTCNTCACATTATATTCATTTTTTGACATAACTGTATTTTATTTTGAAAGCATGTTTAACTACAATTAAATTAAAATTATTAAATTAAATCAATCTAAAATATAAACAATCAACGTCCCCCCTCAGTGGGCCGCGGTAAAATATCAAACGTTGACCGGTCCGCGACGATAAAATAGGTTGGGACCGCTGCTCTAAAAAATCTAGGAACTATATTTTACCTAAGGAATACTAACTTACAAGAATTAATCAGTACTAAGATACAGTATTAGACCAAACGCCGACATGTCGGCGATATCGCCCCCATGTCGGCGTTTTTCCATGTTGAGGGGCGATTTGTAACAATTTATCATTTCGGGGGCGAAAAACAATTTTCTGGCGATATAGTAAAACATCCCCGAAAAATTCCTGGGGATTTTTCGACCCGTTCGGATTCGAATCCGGGTCTCCCAGAGCGGTGGGCTGCCACCTTGACCGCTCGGCCATCCGGCCGCTCTATAAATAACTTTAGCACGTGTATAGTCTCGGATCGAGTCCTCGTATCGTCATACAAGGACTCGATCTGAGACTAGAACAATTACACCTTACCACCTAAATCTGCATTGGCACATTCATACATTACTAGACTCAATGGGTTTTATTGTGGAATCTCAGATTTTTATTGGGAACAGGTTGGGAACCCCTGGCTTAGGATATTAGTTGAAGATTAGGTGCTTCGAATTTTGTTTTTTTAATTAGAAAAATGAAATTCAAAATACAGTAACTACAGTAATTATATTTGAAATCTCAGTATATATCAAATATACGGTTAGGCGCGCGGGGTGATATTGAACCCCCGGCGTGTTTAAACGCGTGTATTTTTTAATATTTTTAGTGCTGAAAAATGATGCCCTCATTACCTTCCTTCCATGGTGTGAAGATCACACCGAAAAAATTTCAAATTTGCACGAAAAAAATTTTTTGCATAGACTTACAATGGAAATCAGTGGGGTACTATAGTACCCCGCGCNCAATAACTTTACATTCAATGTTTTGTAAACGAAAACATTGAATATAACTTAATCAAACATGTTCACCCACGATTTTGATTTAATCATAAATGAAAATGATCCAGATAAAAATACATTCTTATTATTCCTTCTGTGATAGATTTTGTGATAGATTATTGGATAGATTAAAAAGATTAATATCAATCGATTAAAAAGGGCATTTGTTATTCACAATGGCATTATTCATTGAGAGCCAATTCTGCCCACATTGGACTAAATTTATTTTCTATCAGGGCCATTATCAAATAATAATTGTAGATAATTCCGAAAGCGAATCTTAAATTTTAGCCAAATAAGTTGGAACCAGTGGGTAGGTTTGTTCTTAAACAACGCAATCGGCCAAGGGAAGAATGCCTCCCAGCCAGTCTTAGTGGTCCTTATTTAGATATTACAAACGTAAAGAATACCCGGAAATCTCTACGTAACCAGCGTGTTGGCCAGGTGCGAACTTACCACCAACTACCATTGTTCAGTGATTTTATCCACTCGTTTAATGATGAGCCACACGTAAACCAAAGTCTTATCCATTGTATTGCGTTTTTAATATTGTAGAAAATAATAAATACACCTACACACAAAAATTTATACTGTATCACTATTACATAATTCAACGTTTCTCAGTGTTACGTTTAATTTCCGTGCAGGATGTTTATGGAGATGACGACCTGCTGCTGCCGTTCTACTTTGATGATTGTAATTATGCCATTTGCCAGATTTTTACACATCAAGAGAATACTTCTCTTTATAATGATAATTCTTCGTCTTTAGATTAATTATTTTATGCATTTTCCTCATTCGATAGATTAGTTATTTAAATGATTACAGAGTATAAACTTTTGTATTAGATTTCAGAAATTATGCCATTACTAATTTGTAATTGCTTATGTTAGTTGTTCACTCGTCTAAGTTATTTTAGTCTAATTAATTGTAGGATATAACAATAAAAAGTTTAGTAAAAATGTTCTCGTGTGTTATTTTCACTACAAAGAAACCTTTCTTTCAATTAATATTTCGTAAGTCAAAGGATGTCCATTAATAATCGGGCTATTATTATGCTATAATTAATAATTAGAAACTGTGTAATTCGGTAATAGAGGTAAACGTTAGGCACCATCTCTTATCTAAATTAATAATTATTAATTGAAATAAGAGATGGCGTCCTTGAATTCCCAGGTTTATTACTGTAATTTCTGTCCTCGATCCCCGAATCCGATTGGTCGCTTTTCCTTTACAGTACGTGTCCGGTGATAACCTCGCGGGTTGCCAGATAGGTTATACAAAATGTAGAAGACAATTCGTCGAAATGTTGCCAAAATTATTATTAGTGACCCAAAAAGTAGAATCGTAGAGCCTTACAAATATCTCAATTTGCTACTCGTAGCCTAATCGTGCAATCCCAAAACCCAGACGTATTTTATGAAGAGAAGAAATAGGTAGTCCATACACAAGGTGAACCCAAAAATATGTTAATGTAAAAGCAGAGTCATATTAACCAGATTAGAGCTGCTCTTTGTCTATTGTTCTCTATTTTGTCTATTGTCTATTGTTAATTCGTACGTTTAGACCAGTGTTTCTAAACGGGGGCGATATCGCCCCCATGTCGGCGTTTTTCCATGTTGAGGGGCGATTTGTAACAATTTATCATTTCGGGGGCGAAAAACAATTTTCTGGCGATATAGTAAAACATTGTATTAAGAATAATTAGATATTTTATTCGTTATATCGTATAATAATTAAACAAATAAAATTATACTATTCTATTCAATGCGTCAGTCTAGGCCCTCGGCATCGGAATTTTGTAGTGAAGGGGGCAATATACGTAACTGTTTTACTGAAGGGGGCGACGATTCGTTAGAGGTTCACAGAGGAACACTATAATAGATGATTTAATCTGAATATGTTTTGTCTCTCGCCATCCATTGCATCTCTCCATTGTAGGCCTGGCTAAACCTTATCTTTTCTCTCTAAGAGGATAAAAGTCCTCTTAGAAAGATATTTAAAAATCTTAGAAAAGATATTTAAAAATCTAAAGCTGAGTATTCACTTACAAGAAGTATTAAATCTGTTCCCCACTTATTTTGATGAATTTTGGTACAAAGGAAGTGTTTGATATGATAATGCAATCATCCAAATCATTTTATTATATGAACCATATTGAATTAAAAGTGACGTTTGTTTCGACGTGTAGTGATAAGAACTATGAACATAATTTGTGTAAAAAGAAAATTGTGATGTGTTGTATATCGTATATACGAACCTTTTGTATTCTCGAGAAGCTAAGTTTTAACGTAACCTTATTTTTCGGAAGTTTAGTTCAGATCTGTGTTCAGGTTAACACCCAAACACTTATCTTGTGGCGGGGGTGTAGTGATATCGGACCTCCTCGTCTTCCCTCAACTGCGGTTTTGTCGGTCCCTGTGCAATCCATTTGCACAGGGTAATAAGAAATTTAAACAAAGGGTCATAAAACGGAGAGAGAAAAAGGCGGGAGGAGGGACTGGGAGAATTAGCTCGGGACGCGGTGGAGAGAGGAAGGGTGAAGTGGTGGAATAAAAGTGGAATAAAAGATTAGAGTTTTTTTTGTGAAAATATTTGACTGGTTCAGTTTTGTGTGACGAACCGACGGGGTGGAATCCGCTAATTCAGATCGGATTTCCTACAATATGATAACAAATGGCACCACCAAAATTTTAATGCTGCCGGGAAAGTTGAGCAACTCGTTGCTGGTTTCTTTTTCACACGACGTTCTTTGGAACGTATCCACCTCGCAAAAAGTTCTTAGCAGTAAAAACAACTGGAAGGCGACGCGACAGCCGTCAAGATTTCCAGTTTAGATACTCGATGCTGATACAGTAAGACCCCGCTTATCGCGGGGATACGTTCCTAGACGACAAAGCGCTAAACGAAATAGCGTTAATTAAACGAGGTCACTTTAACACAGAGTAAATAGGGAAAGGGAAACACGCGACCAAAAATAAACAGATTTTACTTTAATTTTAAGTTACCGATATTTTTATATTAATTTGCATAATAATGTATCTTAAATAATACATAAACATATGCACACAAAAATGTAAAGTTTATTTTTTGTGAGTGTCCTGGCTCTTCCGAAATTCTTGATTTTTTGTGATAAAGTCGTGTACTTCCATTTATCTCTTTTTTCTTTCCTTAAGCAAATGTCAGTAGGAGATCACATTTGAAACGCCTCGTCTTGCTTTTGCACTCTTTTCAAAATCTGAATAATTCACTACAATTTGATCAACGATTTCGGTTTTCGTTACCAAACTTTTACTAAGGAAATCTGTAGAGAAATTCTTTGGGTTCTTCGTTTTCAGAATCGCTATTTTCCAGTTCTACATGAATTCCTTGTTCTGCCAGTTCTTGAAGGTCATTAGTAAGGCTCTCACCAGAAACCTGCAGTAACTCCTCAATATTCTGCTCGTCTATATCTTCTAATCCTGCTTTATCGATTAGGTTGACCAAATTGTCAACCTAACGATATAGCGATAGGATCTTCTCACTGAGAATTCTTGGATACCTTCAGCCATAACTTC